AACAACCTCCAGCGGGGAATCCAAAGTCCCCGAAGCATCTCAGAACTTCTTGCTAAGCGCAAGAGATACGAATGATCGGGTAGCTCCCGAATCAAAAAGAACATGAGCCGACATACCATTGGCCAAAAAGGTCCCTATACAAGCGCACACACATAACACACACACACACACACATATATATATATATATATATATATACATATATATATATATAAGCATAACAAATAAATATCAATAGGAAAAATAGATTACGTACCAGCCACGACGTCAGGTGTTGCCGAGCCTCTTTGGTAGTTAGCTGAAATGTGCGGCTCTTCACCGCAGGAGCATCTGCCTTAGCAGGGCGGCCATAAGTGATCCTCATTGTGGCGGGAATTGCCATTGCTCCTCTCCCTCCCTGAAACCTCGAACAATCGGTCTTTTTATGGTCGGTCTGGTTGCAGTGGAAACAAATCAACTCCTTCTTGGGCCAGTCCCTGCTCACGTGGCCTAGCTGACCACATGTATAACATATCGGGCCCATCACTCGGCAAACTCCACTGTGCGACCTCCCATATTTGGCACACCGTCCACGACCCTTATTGGCCTTTACCAGAAGAATCCAAGGTCTTAGGCTTCTTAGCATGACCTACAGCTACATGAGCCTGCTCTGGCTTCCGCTTGGTGTGGAACTCCAAATCCATCTCCCGCTCTCGGGCCTTCTCCACCATCTCATTCAGTATTTTGCACCCTTTAAAGCTTACGAAGTCACGGATATCATCCCTCAGCATGGAATGATACATCGTCCTCCTCATATCCTTATCTGCAGCATACTACAGAATCAATAGTGATCGTTCCCGAAATTTGGTTGTGATCTCCACCACAGTCTTGGTGGTCTGTTGTAGCTCCTGAAACTCCCTCACTAAATGTTGCACCTCAATGGATGGTGCAAAATCCAAGTCAAAATGCTTGAAAAACTCCTCCCATGACATCTCAACCACTCCAGTTGATCCCACCTGGTGGGTCACCTTCTCCCACCGGTCCCTGGCTTGCTCCCTCAACATGCATGAAGCAAACCCAATTTCTTTCGCCTTGGGGCAAAAGCATATACGATGGGCATTCTCCATGTTTGCCACCCAGTTTCAATTAACTATGGAGTCCCTGGCCCTAAAGAACTCAGGCACCCTATACGCCTTGAACTCCCGGAATAAGGGAGTTTGGGCCCCGACCCGGCCCGCAACAATCTCGGCTCGGAAATACCTGAGTCGCTCCTCCATCGTATTCATCATCCCCTCCTTCACCGTCCCAAAAATCGCTGGGGTAGCGTCAAAATGCCCTTTGTAACCTCGGTTGCGATAAGCTCGCCCAACCTCTCGTCAATGGGCTCGTTAGCGTAGCCCGACCCCAAATCTGAATCATGATCCTAACCCCCCTGCTCCATGACACCTCACCACCATACGGATCTGAAATACCATAAGACATAATGATCAAGATGTTCAAAAAGGGAATCCTTCCACACCGGTCTCGTTAGATCTTCCCGATCTAACATTAGTTCGGGTATAAGTCCTATGCTTTCAGTAGTATGGGTCCAATACTACCTTCCACACCTACTTGTACCTTCCCCAAGGCTCTATCTAATAACTCTAATTCATCCCCAGAACAGAACATATCTCATAACTACTGCAGAACTCAAACCCTAGGCTATCCTAAGATTTGCTCCATTCCCATCAAACCAAAACTCAAATAGATCATAACAGGTTTCCTTATGCATGCAAATTATACACAAAACAGGATCAAATAGACTGTTGAATAACATACTATACCTTAGGACCACAACCAAACAAAGAACAGGAAATAAGGCCAAATCAATTATTTTGAGGCTATAAGACCTTAACAATACAATTTCATAGCAAGATCTATTCGATTATCACACTTCAAATATCAATATAACATGGCCAACATATTGAGGAAAACACTTACTTGAGCTCGGCCGCTTACACGCATTGCACTCTCCCTTTTTCTTACAAGAAATCGGTTTTAAGAAGTTTTTAACTTTGATTTTGAAAAACAATTTTACCATTTCCTCAGTTTGAGTTCTGACACACCCGAGAGTATGCCCGAGTCCCTCAAACCAAGGCTCTAATACCAACTTGTAACATCCCAAATTTCCAATAAAAAATTTCATTTTTAAGTAACAAAATCGTTTCCATAAAATATAAAATTCCAATCACATTTGTTTTAAGAATCCATAACATCAGACAAATTATTCATAATATCAAAGTGTCCCAAATAAAAACGCCAGAGAGTGCATGCCGCGCCATCACATCGGGCTCTTGCCCTTAGATCCTGAAGTACCTAAAAAACCAACAAACTGTAAGCTAACACTTAGTGAGTTCCCCATAACATACCCCACACAATCCACATAATCACATAAACCATATCATCCATATAAGCTACATAAGTCATGCATATAAACATATAAGGATACCTTGGAAACCCTCCAAGGTCTTACACCAGGTGTCACTAGAACCCCCATGTGGTCTTAACCCACTACCATGGGAACCCCCACATGGTCTTAACTACCCACCATGGGAACCCCCACATGGTCTTAACTACCTGTCATGGGAACCCCTACATGGTCTTCCTTAACTGCCATAGGAACCCCCCACATGGTCTTAGCTAACCACATAAATGTCATATAAGCTAAACATGCAAACATACTAGGATGCCATGGAAACCCTCCAAGGTCTTACATGGAATGCCATGGGAACCCCCGCATGGTCTTAGTCCACTGCCACGGGAACCCCCGAGGGTCTTCCATGTGAGTATCATAAGGACAACTAGCATATCACATATCATATAATCAACTTGTATTACACATAACACATAATGGGTCGCCCTTGATGCCTTCGACCCCATTGGTATGGTGAGGAGACTCACCTTTGTCTACTGAACCCGAAAGATGCTCTCCTAACAGTCCGAAACCACCAGTGCTGAACAATAATACCATGAACCCAAAATTAGGATTAAATACAATCTAATTACACAAACCAATTATCTAAGCCCAAGTCCTTCCATAATGGCCCAAGAGTCTTTCCTTTGCTAATTGGCTCAAAGTCTATACCCAAAGCTCTTAATGGGCTACATGACCCAATAAGGTCCAACCAAAACAACCATGACTCAAAACAAATTAATCGGACCACCAACCCAAAATATTACCATGCCCAAAACTGATCAAGGCCCAAAGGGCTTACGAGCCCACACAAACCCCAAAACCAACTGGGGTGCGTAAGCCAAGCGTACCACTTCAGTACGCTCAGCGTACTGAGTCCTTGGTTGTACGCATTGTGTATGCTATATTACGACCAACGTACAAGCATATTAAGCACTACTTCCATTAAGTGCCTAATACTTGATAATCTAACATCCAACATCAGATCAGAGCTCATTAAGACGTCCTAGGGCATAAAGTTGACAACTTTATGCCCTTGCATGCTATAAGGGACTTCAAAACTTCATTCTTCACATTAAGACTTCATATAAAGCTTCAAACTCATGCATGGAGTCTAGATAACCTTCAAGCTAACACCTTTATGCATCTAGAATGCTCATAAAGCTTAGATCTAACCATCTTAGTCTCTGGAGTTGCTCAACTCTCAAGAGAAGATCCAAGAACCAAAAAGGGGACAATATAGAAAACCCTAACTCAATCTAATGAATAGGATGGCAAGATTAAGACTTTATACCTCTAGAAGCTCCTCAAGGTGAACCAGATGTAGGTTCTTGCAGCCCAATACCACACCAAGCTTGCTCACTAACTTATTCTTCTTAAGTAAGCTCAAAAGTGGCCACTAACACACTTTTATGCTCAAAAAACACATTCTCAAAGGAAAACTGAGGTAAAGGGACGAAATGAGACTCTAAAGGCTAATTAGGGTTTAGTCACAATGAATTAAGGATGTTTAAATAGGTGTCAAGTTCGAAATTTAGGGTTTTGCTCTTCTGTCACGTACGCCTCGCATACCTCTTGGTACTCCTAGCGTACGTGGCCACCCTCCGTGATCATCCATCCTTAGTATGCCAAGCATACTCCTTAAGTACGCCCATAGTACTTAAGGGACCATTATGCTATACTTTTTCGTTTCAAGGGTACAAAGGGTATTTACCTGATTTGGAGTGTTACACGTTTACTATGAAAAAGGTGTTTGTATATATTTTTTTTATAAATATGTGTTTGTATACAAACATTTTTATAATAAAATAGGTGTTTGTATAGATTTTTTTTTGTAAAATATATGTTTGTATACATTTTTTTTATAAAAACGAATTTGTATATATTTATGTACTTAATAAATACATATTTTTTGAAATAGGTATTTTGTATACAAAAAAAAATTATATTGAAAATATAGGATTTTTTCTATGCAAATATGTTTTTTTATATAAATATGATTTTTTTAAAAGAAAAAACATATTCGATTTTATTTTGAGAAAAAAAGTTATAAAAAACTAAAATCATGATGAAATCATAATAAAATTCTGAAATTTTGATAAAAATGATAAAAATTTTATCAATTTTGTAATAAAATTTAAAATCCAGACAATAATATAAATTTTAAATTAAATTTGTAGTAAAATTTTATATCTAAGTTAAAAATGTAATTTTTAAAAGTTGAATAACCTACTGACATAAAAAAATTAAGTTAAATTAAACACCAAATTTTTAAAACTTGATTGAATAAAAATATTTATAAATAATAAATCTATTATAAGATCAGTATCTTACAACTTTTTTACGGTTTCCCTTTACATAATACATACGATTACATGTGTAGTCAGTTGTGGAGAATAATAGGTTTTGTTATATACAAATAAATATAATAACCTTAATTTATATCGTATTTATGTTTTTGGATGTTGTGCCACCGAGGTGCATACTCCAAAAAGTGGTGTGCTCAAACGGACGATCCGAAGAAGACACCTCTCTCCTCTCACTCTCTTTCTCTCACTCTAGAACCTTCATGTTTAGGTTGATGAATTCCTCACCTCTTTCTCCTCTTCTCTCTTTGCAGCATAACGAAATGGTATTATGTTAATAAAGAACGCAAAAGCTATGCTCTTTATGCTCCCTTTTTTGTAAAATTTTCTAACTAATTTATAATTAAATAATCCCTCGACGGGGATCTATGAGGTGAATTCAATCGATAGATGAGTAGTTTCATCTGTACTCCTCAATCAGGTAATCTTTTCTTTGATTGCTTTAGAATTGAATTGGGTCAGATCATTACTGTAATTTTGAATTGTTTTTCTCGAAATCAATTTTCGGATTGGAACGATAAAATCAACTAAATTTGCAGAAGAATAAAAATCCCCTTGTTCAGTCTAGTGTCAGTTACTGAGCCGATCGATATTATGGCTGTTGTTGAGAATGGTGGGTCGAACAGCCGTGTCGAACCAAACGATGTTGATCAGTCAAAACCATTGATTTCGAAATCAAGGTCAAGTGATCAGCAACAGAGTTCGGATCAGCAGAAGACGACACCACCTAATGGAAATGGTAGTCTGGCATACAATAACGGTGTCTCAAACAATCATCATCAGCATCAGATGACTACGAATGGCGTTGATCATCATAATCAGGAAGACGACGACGACGACGACGACGAAGAAGAAGAAGAAGAAGAAGAAGAGGGTTTTAAAAAAGAAATGCGTGATTTAGCTGAAATGCTATCAAAATTGAACCCTATGGCTGCAGAATTCGTACCCCCTTCACTCTCCAACAACCATCCTAGACCCCTTCTAGTCCCACCATCTCCTACTTCTCACTTTGGTTATGCCGCCATCAACAACTTCCTTCTCCAAACCAACACTACACCAGCTTTCACCAACGCCAATTCCAATGGAGCTTCTACTAGACGGGTATACCCAAAATCATCATCCCTAATCTTCTCTGTTGTGTATTTCTCTTTCTGGTGTTGATTCTTGTGAGGATTTTAATGGTTATGGATAGAAGAAGAGTAACTTTAGTCATGGGAAACGAAGGATGAATAGCCGAACTAGCTTGGCACAAAGAGAAGATGTCATTAAAAGGACTGTTTATGTGTCTGATATTGATCATCAGGTACTTGTTCAACTTCAGTTTCATTCTTGCTTGCATTCCCATTAGTAAAAACCTTTAATCTTTCTTCCCTCTTGATTCAGGTTACCGAAGAACAACTTGCAGCTCTCTTCATTGGTTGTGGACAGGTTGTAGATTGTCGTGTATGTGGTGATCCAAATTCTGTTCTTCGGTTTGCCTTTATAGAGTTCACAGATGAGGGTATTATGTCAATACAAGTTCACAAACTTTTATTAAACAAAATTTTTATTTATTCACTCACTTAGATACATTGAATTATGTGTTTTATGATTGCAGAAGGTGCAAGGAATGCATTGACTTTAGGTGGAACTATGCTTGGATATTATCCAGTTAGAGTATTGCCTTCAAAAACTGCAATTGCACCAGTAAATCCTACTTTTTTACCTCGGGTGAGATTCTTTAACTTATATTTGTGATTTGTGAAGTTGGAATAAGCTTTGGAATTTGGATATGTGGTTTTGAACTTTTGTTGATGCAAATATCATTTCAAATTTTGTTTTAGTCTGAAGATGAAAGAGAAATGTGTGCAAGAACTATCTATTGTACTAACATTGATAAGAAGGTAAGTAGTTGAAAACCTTTCATTACATTGTAAATGTATTTGTAAAGGACAAGGGCATTATGTGATGTATTTTATTTAAAACAGGTCACACAGGCTGATGTGAAGCTCTTTTTTGAATCACTTTGTGGCGAGGTTTGTAATTATTCACTTATGAAAATTACAAAGCTATTAGTTATTGAATTATTGTTAACTATATATATGTTATGAAAATTGTCATTTCATAGGTGTATCGCTTAAGGTTGCTTGGTGATTATCATCATTCAACTCGTATTGCATTTGTGGAGTTTGTTATGGTAATTTTCTAAGCTTTTTTATGTAGTTGTTTTGGATTTTGATCCTCTATAAGATATGCAATTTCTTTCTTTTAAAATTATGAGCATATAATCAAATTAGGAGATATGGTTAATCTCAAGTATAGAGTAGAACTTGGAGATTGGTGTAATGGGAATTTGAACTTTGAATTCATATCTATTATTGATGGAAATTGTTTTTTGTATATTTGGATGGGGTTAATGTCCATAAGACCAAAATGGAATATTTTTCTGTATATTTAAATGTTATTGAATAGCGTATAGTTATTATGATTATTATTATTGGTTTGTTATGAAGTTTTGTTCCATTTATTCCATAGAAAATCTTCTTATTGTCTTGATCAGGCTTTAGTCTCTTGTTTTTTTTGCATGATCTATCATAAATAGCAATTATTAAGAAAAAAAGGGTCTTGATTTTTTCCCCAAATTAATAGCTTAATGGATAAATGATGTATAAAAATTATTCTAAACCGACGGCGCACTTGGGATTTGGGAAAAACTAGTGGGATTTTTTTTTTTTTTTTTTTAAAAGATGACTTAACGGGAAAAATCTTATTTTCCTAACATTCTTTATAAAGTTGTTCTTTCTGCATTAAGTCAAATAGAAATAGTGATATGTAGCTTTACCATATTAACTCCTGTTCCCAATAAGTCCATTAAGAAAAAGAAAAAAAAAAAACCCATTAGGATACATTTAATATTATATGTTGATTTATTTCTTTTTGTGCACATTAGATTTATTGCTTTTTGCCAAAAAAAAAATAGGAGTTTTTTTAATCTTGATTTCTATTGGATTTTACAGGCGGAGAGTGCAATTGCAGCTCTGAACTGTAGCGGTGCGGTATTGGGATCATTACCAATAAGGTACCGCCGGTGTCTATCCCGCCTTTTTGAGCGGGACAAAAAACAAAAACTCTACTTTTTGTCTCATTGACATTAATTCAGTCTCACAGTACAAGTACAACATGATCTGTCTTGTCTTGTCGTATCATATCATGTCATTTATATTGCAGTCTCGCATCATATAGTACGTACAATCTACAACCCAATCCGTCTTTTCTTGTCTTGTCATTTATATTCCAGTCGTCTCACATCTGATACAATGCAATCTATTGCAATCTCACCTTAGATACAACAATACAACCTAATCTGTTTTGTCCTGTCATATCATTTATATGTCATTTATATTGCAGTCTCACATTAGATAGAGTACAACCGAATTTGTCTTGTCATGTCATTTATATTAAATCTCACATCAAGATACAGTACAACTTGATGTGTCGTGTCGTGTCTTGTCTTGTCATGTCATTTATATTACAGTCTCACATAAGATACATTATGTTTTGTCTTGTCATGTCATTTATATTGTCTTGTTAACATATTTATTGTATATTGATGCAGGGTGAGCCCATCAAAGACTCCGGTTAGGCCACGTGCACCTAGATCTATGGTGCACTAAATTGATGATCGTTTTTCTTATTATAGACTCATCTACGGGCTATATCAATATATCTAAAAATACATATATGTAGGTGAACAAGAACTGGGTTAAGGTACTTTTGTTGGTATTTATGTTTCTAGTTTCTGTCCTAGTCCAAATGTGACCATGGATCTGTCATTATATGTTGAGTTTGGATAAACGATTTAAGCATTCCGTGGTTTATAACTCATTAAGGTCGAGTTTGTTACATGGAACTAGAGAAGCTGTTTAGGGTTATTTTCGATGATTATGATGAGGACATTTACGTCTTTTGAACTTGCGAGATATCGAAAGTAAGTTGATAAGTTACTGAATTTTAATTTGATATCTTAAGATAAATTAAAGAAAAATGAGGGCAAATTTGATATCTTAATATAAGTCAGTGAAGATGTCCGTGCAACACGTCTTTTTTTTTTTTTGATGTTTGTTGGGTTCATGTACACAAAAATCTAATATGTTGTAGGGTCTGTGATGATAAACTTCTTTTAAGAGGTGATGTCAATAGAATTCGAATAAAAAAAGTTGTCAAAATAGATTAAGAGGTTTTTGATATTCGAATGTCAACATCTAAATAAATAATAGATATTTATCTCCTAATAGTTGACGTAAATTATGATTTAAACCATGCAAGCAAGTTCATTAGAACTTATTTACAGAAAAATGCAATACGGATCACAAATGATTAAAAAAAAGTCATGCATCCATGCCTAACGTTAATGCCTCGTTTATATATAAAAGTTACTTTAAAGGATGCTAAGAAAATCAATTTGCAAAAAAAGAAAATTATTTAATATTGCTTGATGTATAATAGACTCTTTACAATGCCGTCATCTACATTGCAATTCAAAATGGTCGCAGTTATAGATGCATATATGAGAAATAAACTTGGAAATCATGCTAAAAAGTAAAGATTGTATATATGAGAAATAAACTTGGAAATCATGCTAAAAAGTAAAATTGTATAATATCAATTATGTTGACTCTAGTAGTGCAGTGGTACTCGGATTAAGCTTCTGTCTAGATGCTCCAATAAATTTCTTATCAAGTCAATAAATGAACTTTTGCATTTAATCCAAGTTTCATTGCATGTATAGACATACTTGAAAGGCTATTTTCGTTAGTTATAACATATCATTGTGCATACCAACTTTGGAAGTATCTACAGGTTACGTTGCTTATAAGAAATCATATTAGCAAAAAAAAAAAAAAAAAAAAAATCATGCTCACCATTGCTGAATTATAATTAAATAGGTGTATGATGTTGAAAACTTATGCATTGTAGCGATGTCAAAGAGGATGGTATTATACATAAAGTATAAAATATTCCAAAAGACCAAGCCAATTATTTGGTAAGTAAAATGGTTTTAGTTTATTCAAATCTAAAATTGTTTCTGTTGCTAATCACGTCATTTTTGTCACTATAATAAGATTATTTCTGAATAGAACCCAACACATGTTACCATTTGTTAAACAATAAAAACTAACTTATCAGCTTATTACATTTTGGTACAGGATAAGCTACACCTAAACATTTTTTAAACTTTGTTTGAACACCAAATAAGTTAATAAATACTATTAAACCATGAGTTATTTTAAATAAGCAATACCAAACACCCCTGAATGAATAGTTATTTATCTAATACCATGTATAAGATAAATGTAACAGCCATCTCCCATAATGTATTAGTGGGTGATATAAATAAGTCAAATGCATGGTTTTTGAGGAAACCCATATACCACGACGTGATGCATGGAATGTCATGGTGTGGCATGCAAGGTGAAAAACGCATATCTCCGGCAAGCTCCACAACATGCTACAAGGATGGTCACGATGTGGCGGCTACTGCAGCCCAAGCCAACGATTTTAGGGTTTCCTCCCTATTTAAGCACCTTAACTTCAATTTAGGTGTGACATTCCTAATTTTAAGTTCATTTTAAAAAATTTATTTATGCTTATTTTAAAACAAAATATTTCTTTTGTTGCGGAATTGATCCCAAAAATATTATTTCAATGTGAGATAATACTAACATTAAACATTTTCGAAGAAACATTCAATGTTGATATATTTTCAAAACTTTGGATGCTATAAATGATACAAAACATAAACATAAATAGACCTTACATTAATTTATATTAATGATCTACATCTCCGTTAATCTCTTGGTGTAATGTATCTTCGCATCGATGCCTATGATATAAATAACTGAGTGAGTCAGGTTGGGAAAGCTAGTGAGTACATAGAGTTTTCAACCATAATAATATAGTTAATATGTTAATTTATCGAAAAATTAACCCAATTACCCGTCCCCGTTTTATTATGTATTCTTCCCTAAGGATTTATCCTAAGGGTCGTCAACTACATCGCATTTACCTTTCATCGCCTACATCGCATTTCCTTATATGTTTGTTGCTAAAGACTTTTCCTAAGGATCATTGCCTACATCACATAGATAGTACTGTTTCGAGGATTACTCCCCCAATACGTGTCCAATAAGGGTTCGAGTATCATTGAATAAATACGTAGTTACTACATCGCTCGAACTTGTAATTCATCACCTACAGGTTATGAGTATGTCGGTGTTTCCACATGACTAGTTTATATTAGTCAATGGTCACCATTTATACTCTAGTAGATGACTACATCGCAATGTTGCAAGTCAAGGTCAGGGCATCATCTCTTATTTATAATTACGTATTTATACATATCTACCATCACCTATCTATCATCTCCTATCTACCATCCCCTATTACTACCTATTACATATTTATAAGTATATATTACTTATATGATTAACTCAATTTAAATGTCATCTCATATTATTTTATCTAACACATAACATTTCTGACACATATAATAAGCACATAAACCATGTAAATATTTAGATACTTCATATTTATGTGTACGATGAAGATAACTATACACTCATTTGATAAAGGTGGATGCCTTTGGATTTGGGTAGAACCTCATCTTAGCATTTTCAATAACCTAAATGTATAACACTAAGTCTTAGTCTAGTTTCATAATCTCAGTGACTATAATAATTATAGTCTAGATTCCTCACTAATCCTAATGTTTAAAACAAGATCTATCAAGTAAGGATCAGTCAGGTAGTACAGTTGGGAGGCAAGATCATTTCCGCATATAGCCTTTCTGAAATCCAACAACCATGCCAATGTGAGCATTCTAGACACCTCTCCCATAAGTAGATCGATCGGTATTATGACTGAAATTACTGATAAATCTTATTTATAGGTCCATAATAACGACTATGACTACAAATATAAGTTACACTGAAAGAATGAGAGTATAGCTTAACTTACAGAGATTTCTTGGACAAAAGTTTGGGAATTGCACTAGCATAGCTTCTACTTGCTAGCTATTACTAAAACTAAGGGAAAACAGGCTAAAAGTTGAAGGAACTCGAGAGGAATGAATTGAATAGGTGTGAATACCGAATGGTGGTTAAAGCTCTATTTATAGCCAAATTTGGGGTACACGATGTGCAAATGGGGCGCACGACACACAATTTTAATGTGACATATCCCCAAAAATTTTGTGCCACATGTCACACTCTTTGTGGTCCGTGTTTTCACCTTCTAGAAGCACGCGTCGTGCACTTGGAACTGTGTGCAGCAAAAAACCCATATTTTGTAAATTCCATAACATTTCCATACGGACTCCGTTTTTTACGTTCTTTTTTTCCACGCACAGCCCTCACCAAGTACTACAACTTTGCTTTAGGATCCATTGGATAATTTTGACTTTATTTTTATCCCTTATTTTTATATAATTTAATGAATTTACAAAAATCATAACTCTCTCGTATGGACTCTAATTTTGGTGTTCCTTTTACCAAAATTCATATCTTAAATAGTACTACGGTTTTCATTTTGGTGACTTTACCTAAAAGTCAACAATTTTCTTCGTACCTTTTGAAATTAATAATTTTTAATTATAAGGTTGATTTTTATATCTTATAAAATTCATATCTCCTTCGTATGAACTCGGATTTCTACGAAATTTATATTTCTGGGACGATATATATATATATATATATATATATATATATATATATATATATATATATATATGTTTTGGCACACTTGTTTTTACGATTTACAGACGATTCAATTTATTTTTCCTATTTTTCGTAATACGAAACTTATAGTATATTTTAGATGCCTAGCCTAACTTTGCAGGCGTTACAATTATCTCCGTTTTAGATGATTACGTTCCGAAATCGTCAACAAAATTGGTCTTGTATAATGACTCCACACGTTACCTTCTCATCATATTCAATAACCATAACTCTTATGTCTTTTCAATTGAGTTTCCACTTATAGACTTCTTGACTATTAACGGTGCTCAAAACTGCTCTTGCTCTTCCTTCTTATTTCGATCTCTATTGGAGGCTCTTGTTCCTTCTTAGAATTGATTTGATCTAAGATAGGGTCTTTTTACTTTGACTATCAAGACAGACTAATGGGTCGTGTTCTAATTACCTCTTATTAAATGATGCAACGGATAGAATTGAGCCTCTTTGAGTCAGACTCCTACATGGAGGATACATTACTTCATGTTGTAGTTTGATATAATCACATTCTATCATGTAGCACTTCTAGTTACAGGCTGCTTGATCTTAACCCGAACGCGATACCTCTACTGATCGCTTCGATTATCTTTTCCTTCAATCTAAAGTCGAATGATACGTCAATATTACTTCGTAGATTAGTCGGACTCGATTCAATATGACTACTAGGGTTGGAATAATAATTAACTTAGTGTCATCACTGAAACAAAGGTAATTATGGAAATGAATAAAATAGCTCAAATACTTAGAGACTTAGTAACCTTGTGACTTTCCTTGATCCAAGTGCGAGTCTTGTGCTTCCAGTAATATAGGCCTCTACTACCTTTCAGACCTACTCATACTCGTCCCAAGTATTATCTCGCAGTTCACTAAGTTATCATAAAAAG